CGCCGTCCCGGGGATGGGCGGCCCTGAGGGCCGTGGGGACGGGCCGTTGCTTCCAGGGAGGCTCGCCGGGCTGCCCGCCCTGTTCCTGACGGGCACAAGAGCGGGGAGGGCTGCAGGGCCAAGCACAAAAGGTGTCTCTGCGGTCATTCTGCCCCTGCCATGGTCCCGTGTCACTTAACTCCCCCGTTGTCACTCCTGTTTTGCCGCCTGGGATGCCTTCAAGTCTTTCTGGCTCTTTACCTGTGAAGAACGTATGCCAGGCTTTACTGTTGAGCGGGTACGAGGGAAGCTGTGGTGAACTTCAGGTCTCATCTGCAGAAACAGCTGTAGGAGAGCGGTGGAAGCTGTCCCGGTGAAAAGCAGGCCTTCACCGAGCTTACCCGGCATGAGGCAAACCAGCTCCCTCTCCAGACTTGTGTATCAGAATGGTTGCATCTGCGTTTTCAGGAGCGGGTGAAAAGGGACAACTGTGTCACTTTGTGTCTGCAAGGCATACGAATAGATGTCAAAGTGTGAAAGATGGGAAAACAGTATACTTATATTACAAATTTGTGCTTGCATTCTTTCTGTTCTTCTCCATGGGTCAGTGGAAAAGCTGAGATGCTTTTTCATCTTTGCTTTTTCATCTTTTCCTCTGCAATGTGCTGAGCTAGCTGCAGTGCACTTCTATTTGTTTCTTAGATTAGGCTTTTAAGTCCACTGCAATTGTTAATGCATTTCATGAGAATTAGTTTATGGAAGTGCTTGAACAAGGTTTTATGCCCAACAGAGGAAATGTAAAACTACCCCAAGTGGAAGAATGTACTTAGTTATAATTGCTAAAGCCATTCTCATAAAAATAGAGATTTTTTTTTTTTTTTTTTGCCAGAAAGACACTTTTATTTGTTTCTCTTGATCTGTAAATCCTCAGTTGCAGCAACAAGTGTGAGTGTTTGGAAAATATGATTGCAGTGTTACCAGTTGATAACTTTATGAATTGCTCATATAGATAGTAGGCAGTTGCACCCATTTTTGTTTAACTGTGTTTTGAGAGATGGTAAATAGTGTTTGTTCCTAGTAACATAGGAAGGAGATTTACATGCCTGCAAACCATGAGGAGGAGTTAGGTGTGGTGGCACATGAGACTGGTTCTGTGGGTGGTCACCCCAGTACTCACGTAGGTACCAAGGCTGAGTGAGGTGTGAGACCTCCCTTTAGTGGTAGTGTGCGGGTATGCCAATTTAAAGCGATTGTGGAACCACAGTCTGAGGGGCCTTAATCCTCCCTGATCGTCAAAATTTCTAAGCATCCTAGAATTCTGCTTGTCAACTTCAGCAAATGGTACAGGCTATTTTAAACTTGGTATTTCTTGCCTGTATACTTTATTTTCAAGATAATTCCCATTTTGAATGGCAGAAATAGGAAGACTTGAAAATATTACTGTATGTAGTTTGTTTGGAATTACATTCTTTTTGAAGACTGTCAGTAGCCAAGGATACTTCTGATACTCTTTTTACAGTTTTAGTGGGAAATTGATTTTACACTGACATACTCAGGGAAACAAATTGTTTGTCAGCATGATTCAGTTTTTGCCTTCAGTTACCATACCAGTGATATTATTTAAGTGATTGTGACTTTTCCTTTGGAACCTCTGTCTTTTTAAATTCTAGTTTATTGACACTTTTCAGAAAAGGTTGCAAAACATTCCCTGCCTTACTTCTTGTAGAACTAATGGTTTGGAATGAATGAGGTGTGAGGGACAGCAGAAAGGGAAAGGAAGTTGAATGCTGCACTGGGAAATCAAATTAAACGTCTTCCTATGCAGTCATCTATGATACAAAGCAAGGCCTTAAAGCAAACTTTTCACAGGTATCTGTTAACTTTGTTTTATTTTTCTTTTATCTCATTTGGGATGATTCCTTTTTCATTGTAGAAGGCTGGGCACTTAAAACTGTAATTATGACTGTTGGAGGATGAATCCTGTGATGAGCACACGAAGTGCTGTTAAATTGAAGACACTGATAAAACTGGCATAGATTTCTTAAGTTGGAACCCCAAATTAGCTTTAATTTTGGTACTTGTTAGTATTCTCATTCACCTGTATTGAATTTCCCAATAATAATTTTTTTGTGTGCATGGAAATAACAGATGTTTCTAAAGGACACATGCAAGGAATTGACAATGCCAGAGGACAGAGTGGTGTGGAAATTGAGGAGTCTGTATTCAGTGTAGTGATGTGATGGTATATATTGCACTGTTTGGGAGCCCCAGAGTATATAACAAGAAGAAAAGGAAATACCGAGTAGCTGATCAGTGAAAATAGTGCATGAGGCAGTGGTTGTAGAGGAGGTTGCAGGACAGGACTCATGGAATGATTTGTGGCAATACAGGTAGACTGAACTCTTCCTTTTTTCCAGCAAGCAAGTGCTGTCTATCTTCTGAAATGTATCAAATTCATCACTTGATTTTTGTGAGGGTTTTTTTTTTCATTGCCATGTAATGTTTTGAGATTTCCGCAACATCCACCCCTCCCTGTGCCCCCCAACCGTAAGCTTGCTGGGTGTGCAACAAAATCCAAAACTAAGTGGGTGCCTTGTCAATGAGGAAGTTACTTAGGTTTTATTTCTGGAATGTTCCAGTGAAGGAGGACCCGTTTTCCCAAATGAGAATGAATTAAAAAAAAAAAAAGCAGATCCGATAGCCATTGCTGTTGCTGAGATGATAGGAATATGTTCTTAAAAAAGTAAAATTCAGGTCTTCAGTGTATAGTAATAAATCAGCTTTGTGAAGGGTTTAAGATATGTGGAATAGGAGCCTGTAGTTTAGGCTCAGGAGTGGACACTAAGAATATTCAAAAAAATTCTGAGGAGAGAGAAACAATTTTTGGAAATGTTTTTATTGGGAACTTTTCTTAATCCAAAACCTTTAACAGGCTCTGCTTTTAACCTCCCAAGGAAGTTGCAGCTTTCCCTGAGGTACTTTGTTAGCTGTAAGAAGTAATCTATGCTCTCACTCATTTTACTGTAATGCCTTGTTATTTTCTGATTGATCAACCTGAGCTTGTAATGTTATCTATTAGTATAGCTGTGTTGGCTTCTTATGTGCTGTGAGAAGATAGCCTGATTATTCGAAAGACTGTTTCCGGATTGCAATCTTTGCGTAGAAAACTGCTAATCTTTACTTCAACAACTTAATTTTAGGAGCCCAGATAGTGTTGTTGGGGTTTTTTTTTTTGTTTGTTTTTAAACATTGGAATACTCTGGAATTTTGATACACTTGTGTATGTTTCAGTGTTTGCTCTATAACTTGGAGTGTGAGGTTTGAATATTTTAGTTAACAAATAATGATCTGCTCTATGTATTCTATATTGAAGGGAAGAGGAAATTCATTACTTACTGTAATGCTCAGTATGTGGTGCTCTAATATTTTCACTAGAAAAGTATAAGCATGACTATTTTGAAGATTTGTGTGTGATGCTTCCATATTAGTTACCTGTCTTGTCTTCTCAATTTAACCCCTTTTTCCTACTTCCTTTTTGGCAAATTAGCAACTAATTTTACCTCTTCTTATAGCTAAACATATACATCCTATATTGTTTTGAATTTCTTTTTTTCTGGAGAGTGATTTCATTTATATAGTGAGTGTAGTGTTTCCCCCCTCCTTAAGTAGAGCAGGACTCCTGGAAAGGCTATGTGAGCAGAGGTGGTGAGCTGAATGGCTGTGTTTCTCTCATACAAATTGACATAAAAAGAGTTTTACTTCAAAAGTTCTTTGTTTTTCTTAGTATTTCTGAAACTTTCATGAGCAGTCTTTATGTAACGTAGCAATTATCTATTAGCGTAATATACTGAACACCAATTTCTGTGACTTCTGGGCATTCATTTGGCATAGAAAGAATGATTTATAATACCTTACAGGAGAACATAGAAGCCAATGTCTTTTGTTACTACCCAGAGATCAAGGCAAAGCTGAATCAATAGACAATCTGTAGTATGTTTTGTTTATTACAGCTTGGCACTTAAAATATTTGGCTTTATAGCCTGTTTTAGCTTATGCAGTTAAATTACTCACTATATGAAGTCGGAAGTAATAGAAAATACATAAGGAACTTGTGGGCTAGAAGGCAACTTAAATTTAATCAGGGAATATATGTAAGAATGTTAAATTTAAGTTAAAATGTATAGCATAGTGTTTGACCATTATTGTTGTAATTGCAGCCAAGAGGCAACAGAAAACATGGTGCATCATTTATCATCACTAGAGCAATTACAGGTAAATATGACTTGTTCTTATGTTCACGACTCATAAGAATGATGCGTGGATTGCTTGTAAAATTTACGATTTCTGCTCTTTGGGGTGGCTAGTGTAATGGAAATAGAATACAGGATGTGTTTTCAGGCAGGTGTTTTCTGATTATCAATATCACTGTGTTATTTTTATGTCATTTTTATGAGCTTTCTTGCTTCTACTAGCTTATTGGGCACAAACTAATAAACCATACATCTAAGAAGTTTAGAAGCTCTGTTGTATTTTGCAAAATGTTGTTGAGTTGTTTCTTTTTCCTCTAGCAGCTCTTGTGTTGGGCTGTTTGCTAGTTAGCTCTACAAGGAAGCTTTACGTTATAGTCATATTACATTGCTGTTCAGCACTTGGTTTATGCAGTAATTGAATTGCATTTTCATCCAGTAGGAATTTCTCTTGGAATTTCCAGAGAAGTGTAGTGATTTTTTTTGATCTGCCATTTGCATTTTCTCTAATGCAAGAATTCATTGGCCAAGGATAGAGAGTTTTTCCTTTAATACCTTTTTCCTTTGTGAGAATTTCTGAGATTCTGTGTGCAGTAAGCTGGAGAATGTTTTAAAACTGCAGGAGACATAATTCTTGCTTCTTTTTTCTGTTGCAGGTCCTGCATTGTTTTTGCTTCGGTACATCTGGTACAGGTAGGTTTGATGAATATAGTGCTTAATCTTTTCATTTGGTAATATTTTTATAGCTTTTTGATTTGATGGAAAGTTATTTATTAAAAATTGAACGCTTGTTTAGAATATGTCCAAACAATGCTTAGAGTATTCTTTTTTCATAAGTTTAAGTTGTAACCACTTGAGTTGCAGCTGAAACCTATCTAGAAAAGAGCTGGTATATACTAGTTTGATTTTTCACTTTTATCAGAAGCCTAAGTAAACTTGCAGTTGGAACATCATCTTCCTCAAAACATGTATTTGTTCTCTCCACTCCCAACTGAGATATTGCAAGTGAAGCTGGTTTTTTTGATAAGCCTCAATGACAGGTATGATGGCATGTCAGGATTTACTTTCTTTGGAGTAATAATTTGCTGCTTTTTTTTTTTTTTTTTTTTGAGAATTCAAACGGTCATACCAAAGCTTAATAACTACTTGAGCAACACTCATGCCACTTAGAAATTTAACTTCTGATTCAAAAGGCACTTAAATGGTCCCAGATACGTATAAGGCTAAATACAGCGTTCCTGGAGAATTTCAGCTCTATGGTTATACTACTCTGTTGATGCCCTTGACAGGTTTGAAGATATCAGTTCTCTCTTTTTAGGGGTATTCTGTTGTTTTTGATATATATGGAAAGGGACGTTAATGTGACTCCCTGTGAAACCATACTATACTTGAATTCAGCAGGCAATGCTGTTTTCCCTGTTGCTGGTGTTCTACTTTATTTTGCCTCCTGGGTTTTTTTGGTTTTGGTGTTGTGTTTTGTTTTTTTTTTTTTTTTAAGTCGTGTTTGTGGGCTCCATGCCATTGTATAAGTCTGGTTGTGAAGATACAGTTGCAGACAGAATTAACTTGCTCCCCTGCCCCGGTAGTCATATTTAAAGTCTGATTTCTAGCTTTTGTAATTGATTCTAGTTGCTATTTCAAAGTATTTATTAAAAGTGATTGGGAGGGAGCTCAGGAGGCCTCGAGTTTAAAGTCCTGCTAAAAGCAGAGAGAATATTCAATTCAGACTAGGTTCTTCAGGGCTCTCTTCAGCTGAGTCTTAAAAACTTTCAAGGATGGAGATCCCAAAGCCTCTCTGGGCAGCCTGTTCCAGTGCCTGACTGTCTTCATGGTGAAGAATTCTTTTCCTTACATCAGCTTGGAACCTTCTCTATTTTAGATTGATCAGTTTCTTGTGCTCCTGCCATGCACCTCAGTGGCTTCTGTCTTCCTGGTAACAGCCTGGGTGTCATAGACCTGCTGTTTGGCCACCCTGAAGCCTTGCCTCCTTGTAGAGCAAGCACTGCAGTCCCCTGACCATGTTGGTGGCCCTCCAGTTTGTTGGTGTTCTTTTTGTAGTGGGGGGGCTCAAAACTGGCTGCTGACCAGATTATAAAGAGTGATGAGTAAATAATCAGTTTCCTTAATATGTAAATATTATCCTATTAAAACAAACAAGGATGTTGTTAGCCTTCATGATTGGTAGCATGTGGTGTTGATTCATGTTTAGTTGCTAAAACCTCCCAGGTGATTGATGGTTGCCTTAAAGCGAAATTGTCTGGTATATGTATCTTGGGTACTGCTTTTGTTAGCTGTATATTCTGATTTAGCCTAATGTTTTTGTTATTTCAGCCCTGCAAAGTTTTCTCTGCCCACTGGACTGGTTCGTCTAGTTAATAAGCAGATCAACTGGCACCTAGTACTTGCAAGGTAACCAGCTTACATGCTTTTCCTTTTTTGGCAGTAGCGAACGTATTAATGCTTCCTCTCTTTTCCCCGCCATCCCCGTTGGTAACAATGCTGAGTTAATATTATGCTAAAGTCATGTTATTATTTTGGTCAAGAAAAATACCAGAGGCTTTCATAGGTAGCCTTGGGAAAGAAGAGTCAGTCTGCTACCTAAGGGCTTCCACGCTGCTTCCTTTCATTTAATGCATCTCTCACTCAGGTCTGAATGTCCTTCTAGCTTTTGAGGCCAAGTGCCTTGCAGTGCAATCTTTCTGTTGGGATTGTATTCAGGACTTGAGTTTGATCAGTTAAAGACCTATAACTTGGCAGGTTATGTAATATAAATTGCTTATTTTAAAATTAGTGGAAAGTGAATGCATACCGTCAAGACTTGTCTGCTATTGTATGTATAGAGAAGTGAGAGTTCCAAGGGCAGAACCAGATGTTCTGCAGTAATTTTAGCAGCATCAGTCAGATCACTGCCTTTAAACATGAGCATAAATATGTACAGAAAAATAGTTCAGTGACATGAAAGTAGTATGGAATGTTTTAGTTTGTTGTGTATTATCACTGAATATGATCAGTGGTTCAGCAAGAGCTGATTCTTTGCGAAAGCGATGATCTCTTCTGATGCACACCATGCCAGTTCCAATGTTGTGTGTTAGGAACAAAGACAGGAGACCTGCTCCTAGGGAGATGATGTAACTCAATAAAGAATGATAGTTGTTTATTGCAGATAAAGCCATACATAGTTTTAGATATTGCTGTTATAAAATTATCCGTAAGCACCATCTGATTCTGACCATCCCTGCAGCAAGATTTTAGACGTTTTTTCTGTTTTCTTAGTGCTACTAGAAGACAGTGACAGACACATTTCAGTGGCACAAAGGGCACTGATTTTTTTTTTTGTTGGTATAAAAATTGGTATTTCCCAATTTGTTTTGATTTATGAAAGACAAAATTTATATCTGACTTTGCAGAAAAGCACCTAGAGCCTTGATGCACATTCCGTAAAGACTGAACTTTAAATGAAATTTGACATCTCTATTTTTCTCTTTCAGCAATGGTAAATTGTTGGCAGTTGTTCAAGACCAATGTGTAGAAATCAGGTAACTTAGTATTGTCTATCGCTTCATGACCACAGTTGTGGAGTTCTGAGAAAGTATTTCCAGTCACTTACTAACCATGCTTTTAAAGATTTTTTTTTTTTTTTTTTTTTTTTAGAATGTTATATACATTCTGAAAGTAATCTATGGAATAATCCTAAAATATATTATCACTTATAAAGCAGAAGCCTTCTGTTTCTTCTTAGTTCTTGGGTATTCCCCATTTGAAAACACAAAACACCACCATTCCCCCTCAAAGCCCCCCCCCATTATAAGTGTTATAGATAAATTTATATAAGTATCTATCTGTATCTTTTTTTTTTTCCTTCTTTTCTTTTTTTTCCCAAGGTATGAAAGAAAATGAATCAAGATGCTTCAAAATACTGAACCCAAATCATGGTCTTTCTAACCTTTGCCTTTCCATGTCCCTTTAAAGTCATCACAAAAGGATAGAAGTTGCCTCCTAATAAATGGTTTGAGGAGCTAGTATTCTGCTTCTCTGTAGAGTAGCTGGCATGTGCAATACTTCACCTTATTTTACAAGTAACGTGGATTGCCGTAAAGACTGATGCATTCCCTTTTTCTTCTACTCTCTCACAACAAGCTCTCCTTTGCCAGTTCAAGAACACATTTAGCTGTAGAATGAATCTTGATTGAGTGTGTTTACTTGCTTCACAAAAATCCATTTGCCAGAAGGTCAGACCTTCTATTTATATGTAAAAGAAGCAAGTGTATGAAAATTGTTCAATCAGAAGTGGAGTGAACACCATAAATGTCAGCTTATAGACTATAAAATAAATCTTGTGTTTCAGCTGTATTAGTGTAACTATATTCCTGCATTGTTTCTAAAATTGTAACCTAGAGAATACTGTTTTTTTCTGCTAAAGTTACATGCTGAAGTTCTGAAATGCTGATGTCCTATTTTGAACAGCTTTACTACTAAATGAGGGATATTAGTATTTATGTGTCAGGAGCAGGGGTTCTAAAATACTATTGTTAGTTACTGTAGCTGCCTAAGGGTGAAGGCTACTATCTACCTTTTTCAACAAGTAGTTAAATACATTCAAGCCTTTGAATTGTGCACTTAAGAGTATTTTTATAGTGTTCTGTTTATTTTGGGAAATTGAATAGTGGCTTTTTTTTCTTATTTAAATCCATATGAGACTTTTTTCCTGCAGGTCTGCAAAAGATGACTTTGGATCCATCATTGGAAAATGTCAAGGTATACAATATGGAAACCTCCACATAGTTACTTAGTGTCATCGTTGTTTATTACTCATGCATCACTAAATGGTGGTGTTGGTTTACTTTAAAGATAATATTGTAACTTCTTGAATGCATTGGGAAGAATTTCGTAATTTTGCTTTGTGAATAGTTCCATTTCCCTCCCCCCGCCCCCTTCTTGATGATTAACATATAAAACCTGAATCTGAAATGAAGTGATAGTTATAATTAATGGGTTTAGGAGACATAGTGGGTATTGGAGGTGGTGAGGGTTTTTTTTTCTCCTCTGAAATACGCTTGTGATGATCGTAGGCACCCTGCATTTTTTGATGCAGTTGACTTTCTGGTTTAAGGGATTATATTTATATTTCACTTCTTAATAACTTTCTTCCTTTTGCATAGTGCCAAAGGATCCTAACCCTCAGTGGAGGCGAGTGGCATGGAGTCATGATTGTACGTTACTTGCTTATGCTGAAAGCACTGGAACAGTGAGAGTGTTTGACCTAATGGGCAGTGAGCTTTTGGTCATTTCACCGGTAGGTGCTCCCTGAGGTTACATATGAATATAGTAGAACTTTTTTGTGAGGATAAAAGGTAATTTCCACTCTTTGGCTTTTGTTTAATCATTGTTTACTTTGCTATAAAGACGTACAGTATCAATACTGTGCACAAATGTACCATAAATTGTTTATCATATGATGGATGCATTATAGTTAAACTTAAGTCATGTAGCACTTGCAAAGCATATTTTTTGTGTTGTTGTATCTAGTCAGAATCCTCATCTTTCTTTTCTTTTTCTTAGAATTGTGGTAAATGTGCAGGCACATCAGATTGCGAAAGTATAGAATCACCTACTTAGTTTGTGTGCAAATAATTAAAATTTGTAGCAGTAGATTACAAATCTGCAGTTTATATGCGGAGTCACTTATAAATCAAGAAATATTGCTGATAGAGCAATATGAGCTTTTTTTTTTCTTGGTATGAGAATAGATAATTGCTGCTGGCTTGCCTTGTACAATATATTTTATATTTTGCGTATTCAAAGGTTGTATTAAACTAATTTGGGGAGGTGGCTCAAGTGTATTTCCTTAGCGTATTGTCTTTGCAGACTTTATAATAATAATTTTTCTTTAAAATCGAGATAAAAGGAGTGTATTTTGTTAGTAATACAAACTATGAAACTTTATTTTTTTAATACAATACAGTAAATTTAACTTCCTGTTTATTTCAGTAACCAAGACTACATTTTTTTTTTAACCTCCTTTCCCTCTCAATGTCTGTCTGCATTTCTGGGTAAAGACAGCAAGTTTTCCAGGAGATCTGAGTTATGCTATCGCTGGACTGATCTTTCTAGAATACAAAGCAAGTGCCCAATGGTCAGCTGAACTGCTTGTCGTTAATTATCGTGGAGAACTGAGAAGTTATCTTGTAAGGTAAGCATGAATTTTGACTTGCTTTGAGAAGGATCTTCGAAGGAATTCTTTCAAGAAAATAAATCTGAATAATATATGTATTTTTTTTTCCCATACTTAGTGTTGGAACAAATCAAAGCTTTCAAGAAAGTCATAGTTTCAGCTTTAGCAGCCATTACACCCATGGAATAACTACTGTCATTTATCATCCTGGTCACAGGTAAGTGTTCTGTTTGCTACCTGCCAGTAATATGGAAATGATGAACAAAAGCAGCAAAATAAAAGTTGTGTTGCATAAGGAAGGGGAAAAAAAAAATCTATTTTAATATTGGTATATAGTGAATCAGTAATAACAAGTCATATATCATTGCACTTAGGAAAGAAACCCTAGCTGGTGATCTCACTTTACTAATTGAATAATGACAATCAAGTTGTGTCCTTTACTGTCTGAGTACCTTGCATATGCAACATTTTTTAGAATGTCAGAAAAAGTTTCAAAAGACATTTCTGAATGTAATGGGAGGTAAGGGCTGATGTATAGTTTGTTGGGGGATTTTTTGGTTGTTGGGTTTTTTGTTGGGGTTTTTTTTGATTGCTGGACTCATTGGTCAGTCAATTTTCCCTAGTGTTCTGACTGAAACTGCCAAAACTGCCAGGCTTTTGGTATTTGGAGTTGTCTTGTGATGCCTTTTCTCTATTAGTAAGGTGTTGGGTACAGATACCAAACTTGAAAGGTGGGCTAATTGACTGCCTGGTCTTGAACCAGAGCTAGTTGGAATAGCCAATTACTTATGTTAAAAATACGTCTAGCTTTTCAATATCTCCTTGTTATATAGCAAGATAAACTCAGCAACTTATTTTTTCGTTTCCCTTCAGTTGTAGAAACTGAACTTCCTTCTAGATAATTTTCTCCTATTAGATCTACTAGGATTGAATTGCACAACATATTATATCACTGTATTGTTTTAAATGGAAATTAGGCTTGGCTGTAAAATACCAGAAGTCACTGTTTAAAAACTTGTTCTCATTCTTCAGTGTTAAGTGAGCTGTCCTATCTATCTTCAACAAAAAAATGGTTATTAATGAGAAGTAATGTTCTTCTAGCTTATTACTTTGAAAGATTAATTTGGAGTATGATTTCTTCTTTCTACCTAATTCATATCTAGTAATTCCACATAATTAATACTCAGTGTACTAAATTTAGAGTTTTGAGGTAGTAGTGCTACCAAAGCTCTATAACCCACAGCTATCTGACCAGACAGCAGAACCTGCTCGTTCTTTCCTTTGATCAGACTAGGGTTAATGGTTCTTGTCACTTGTTTCTAAAGATATCTTTTCTGCTCCTAAAATTAGGAAGTAAATTGATTATAACAGCACATGTTGAAGAGAACATTGGTTAATATTCGAAGTATGGTCAAATAATTATTCTGACAATTATAATAGATGGATGTGCTTGTTTTTCATTTTTGGTGCATTTCTGAGCAAATGATGTCAGAACTGTTAAAGTCTTGTAATGGATGAACCCATTAACAAGAAAATATGTAGGCAATCAGTTGGTGTAATTGTCATCCCAACAGTATGGACATTGCTTTCTGTGTGCTAATGGCAACTTATTGCCATAGAGGTTTAAAAGAGAAGGGGAGAGGGAAAGGCAAAAATTTCAAGGTTTTTTTCCTTCTTTTCTCCCACCTCCAAGAGAAGTAATAGCTTTGATTTTCCTACTATTCTTAAAATATCTTAGGTTAACATTTTAAAAACTTGGTATTAGTGTGAAGTAAAAGAGCAGGAGACCATGCTAGTTTTGTGCTTAGAATAATGTATTTAGCATATTAGTAATTAAAGATTTTTTTTTTTTTTTAATGGGAGCTTATGGCTGGCAGTTTTTTGTTGTTGACTGTGTTACATATTTTCTAGGGAGAGAAATACCCTTTCCTTACATGAAAAGATGTGGTTATATCTGCTGCTGAAATAGTAAGTTTGTGTAAAGTGCGTGGCGTACACATTCAGGAATTCCTTGTTTTTACCACGGAATATTATGACTCATTTCACGAAAATAAAAACAGTCAAATGGAGTGCCCTGTGATCATAGTACTTTCTGCTATGTGCAGCCAGTTGACTTGCTTAGTAAAGCTGTGTTGTGGTTTAACCCCAGCTGGCAGCTAAGCACCACACAGCTGCTCGTTCACTTCCCCTCCAGCAGGATGGGGGAGAGAATCAGAAGAGGTACAAGTGAGGAAAATTTGTGGGTTGAGATAAAGACAATTTAATAGGTAAAGCAAAAGCTGCGCACACAAGCAAAGCAAAACAAGGAATTCATTCACCACTGCCCATCGGCAGGCAGGTGTTCAGCCATCTCCAGGAAAGCAGTGCCCTGTCACGCATAACGGTTACTTGGAAAGATAAACGCCACCACTGAGAATGTCCTCCCTTTCCTCCTTCTTCCCCTAGCTTTATATGCTAACCATGACATCATATGGTATGGGATATCCCTTTGGTCAGTTGGGGTCAGCTGTCCCAGCTGTGTCCCCTCCCAACTCCTTGTGCACCCCCAGCCTACTCGCTGGTGGGGGGGTGTGAGGAGCGGAAAAGGCCTTGGCTCTGTGTAAGCGCTGCTCAGAAGGAACGAAACCATCCCTGTGTTATCAGCACTGTTTTCAGCACAAATCCAAAACATAGCCCTTTACTAGCTACTATGAAAAAAAATTAACTCTCAGCCAAAACCAGCGTAAGTTGAAAAATTGGTACTTGAAAGAATGCACAATTGGATGGAAAGCAAAAAAACAATGTTTTGCCCTTTGTATAGGCAAGTCTTTTTCTGTTTTGAATTTACTCTGTGGTAGAAAGCATCTAAATTTGACACTAGAGAACTCTAAATTCATGAGCAGAGTCTCTTGCTGAAATCGTGGTGTTATCCAAAAAAACCCCAAGGGCTGAAGGGAGGCAGTTTTCTTAAATGGTGCATTAAAGAAAATTGTAGATACATATGAACACTTCAAAGTTTTCATTTTCAGTAATGTGAACTTTGATCACTTAACAGGAGTACAACTGTCACTTCGTGCTTTCTTGCATTTCATGTAATTTCAGATGATGAAATTATACTGGTCTATCTCCACTGCTTGTAAGCCTTGACTTACTGCACTCTATATTGCTATGTATTTGCTCATTACTTATTACAGTGCAATAAAATAGCACTCAATAACTTAATGTGCTTAATTTTTTAAACTAGATGTAGGATAATTGCAAAGAGAATATTTCAGTAGTAAATGTATCTGAACCTGTAGGAAAACTTGAAACAATAGCTTTGGGAAAAAGTCGTAATAATGAGTTTCACTGCTTTTGGAAAGTGTTATATACCTTAATTTAGATGCCTAATGTTGGTGTTCTCATGTGATCCAGCTTTCATCTATGATGAAATTTATGGTGCGCTTTAGTTGACAAAACTTATGTCTGCTTCAGTGTGAGGTCTGTAAGCTCTAATGGAAGGTTCAACACCTTGCTTATTTTGAGTATCTTACTCCGTAGCTGAATGTTGTGCTTCAGGCTTATCTGCAGTTGCTACAGAAAGCGTTTGCTATTAGAGCCTAAAATGTGTGATGGCTATAGAAGATGAAGGGTTTTAGATTCATCTGGAATTTGCTTGTTGTACCAAAATTGAGTGGGGAATTGTATAGAAGTCTCAATGGAACTTGCTATTCTTGAAACCAGTATTGTAGTAGTTATCTTCAGCCCAACTTTGTAGTAACCTTTGAAATAGAGTACAGTTGAGATACTGCAGGGGCAGCCATTTTTTTTTTATTGAGACTGGAGGAACCTCTGGAGATCATCTAACCCATTCTACTTCACAGCAGGGTCAACTAGAGCAGGTTGCTTGGAGCTGTGTCCCTCCAGTCCAAGACCTGCACATCTGTATCCTCCCTTCGTAGTGTGGTCTGTGTCAAGGCCTCTGACCTGCTGGGGTAGCTGCTCCAGTGGGTGCTGGGGACTGAGCCTGGCGGCACGTTACCACCGGTGCTGAGGACACATACAGAGAGAGTTTCTGGCCCCATTTTCTGCAAACTGCTGAACAAAATGCTGCATCCATTGGCTGCACTCTTGGCCTGGCACTCATATAGGTCTCTTTCTAGGACTTGTTGAGAGGGTTCCTGACCCTTGCTAATCAGGAGTCAGCTGGAACAAAAGCTGAAAGCACCCTTTGGTCAGGAACAGCCGTCAGACCTTATTAAAAGCTTCTAGAGCTTGCTGGCTAGCTCTTCCTGGCAATGGCAGGCATTGTGAAGTTCCTCAAAGACTTCCCAGGAGTCCTCTGCTGATCACAGAAGTATGTAGAAGATTAAGAGGATCTAGAAATGGAGACCAGAAGCTGCTGCACAAACTGCAGCATTCTAGCTGTGCTCTGTGTAGAAAATTTATGCAAGAATAAAAATTATGTAAGATTTTAACATTTTAAGTACGAAAGGGTGTTGCATTGATCTTGATGTCCGTAACAGTATGATAGGCAAACCTTTCCCTTCTAGGGAGTTACTATTAAGTGTTGTATATTAAGTTAATGTTGCTTTGTGGCCCTTCTGGAGTGGCATAGAACTACAGCTGATATGGTGTGATATAAGAATCCAAGTATTTGACCAGGAAAAGTAGTTTTTCACATTACTGGGACAAAAAAAAGTTGTTCGCATGGTATCTTCTTCAGATTGAGACTAGCTTAAAAAAAAAAAAAGTAAACGGGAGCAAAACCTCTCCTGTTGCTGTTCCCAGTCTACCTGTCAACTTACTATTTTGGAGTCATCTCCTGTCTAGTCTTGAAAAAATAATTGGTAAACAAGACCAGATCTTTGCTGAGGTTCTCAGGAGTACCTATCATTTTCTTTTGATGCCAGTTGTGTTATTCATCTTAATAGTTTCTGTCCCTGCTGTTGCATTTTGCTCTCTGAAAAGCTTTTTAAAATTTTAAGTACGTGCTGCCATGATGAATTTCTCTGCAGTCCTGGGAGAATGCTTTTTGTCTTGAGATTGTGTGTTTCGTGCGTGTCTAAACTGATATGACATCGTCATTCCAGCTGTCATTGAGTTTCATTTATCCTAAAAGATATTTCAGAATTATAAATATGTTGCACTGTATGTGACAGTTTTTTCTGGAATTTCTTTAGAAAGATTTATCTTGATGGAGTTTTTGAGAGCTAGTTCAGGCAGTTTTGGAGCTACTGCTGTCACGATTATTGACAATTCTTCTCTTGATCTTTGTGCTACTATTTGTCTCTTAGTCACCTCTGGCACATTGCGGTCAATTGTAATTGAGTTTTAGTCACTGCTGCTGTTGAAATTTTTAGTTCAGTGGTATGTTGCAATGGAAGTTGGAGCTTATGGAAGAATTTAGGTGCCTACGGATGGACAAGACAATAGATAAATTAATCTTCCAGAGGATTGTGCCCCCTGTCTTTTGGTTATCAGGATTTCACAGCTGTGTTGTAGTGATTTCATAAAGGTTTTGTTTACTGATTTTTAATTTTATTTTTTGTAAAGCTTTCCTCATGAAAGGCTGTGAAAAAAAACGTGAAACTTGCTTTCCGTGCTAAAAAAAGTTAGGAAATTGATCATTTTATGCAAATGATCTGTGTAACATTGATCTGGCCAACATCTGTCTGAGTTTTAAGATGTGATTTTGTGATACTAGACTCTGTGCTCAGATGTTTGGGTACCCAAACACATTTATTCTTGGCTAGCTAAAGTGGACATAAACTGCATAATATACAACAGGGTTAATCGAGTATTTTGCCATAAAACCTGTTGGTGCTGGAAACGACTTTCCTGTGGTGTGCTATGGTGCTACGTCTCTGCTGAAAGTTAATTTTATTGTGTCGGGTTTTTTGTTTGTTCATTTTTATTTTGGTAGAGGTATGTGCTGCAAGATATTTGAAAATTTACTACTACTTTGTTTTTTACTGAAGTCCCTCAGAAGAACTACATAGTCTGCCTAAAAGATGGCTTTTGTATGAGTTGGGGGCAGCTCCTATGTTCTTTGATTGGTGGCAGTGTGGCAAGCTTCTCCGATAGAATGATTGCAGGCAGAGGAAGATTGCAGAAGGGAAGTGTCAGGGAGAAGGGAAATTAAAAAAAAACATACAGAAAGGAAACAAACGTGGATGAATTATTAGTACAATTCTTAATTGTATGACATTTAATCTGTGAGGTTTTTCTGTTCCCAAGTACAATTTCCCCCTCAGTAATCAGCAGAAAATTTGATATAAAAATCTTTTGTGTATTTCTGAGAACTGTGTTGTTTATTGGTGGCTGTACCAAATGTGTCATTGTTTTCCATGTTTCTGAAGGATTGATGTTCTCTCCAAGTCTTCCTGGGTTAAAGTAACTTTCTTCATCAAAGAATAACAAACCATTCAAGTAGTTTCTAGCATTTGTTGATGTCCCAAAGTTGAATGAAATTAGACTTGCTATGTTGTCCTGCTTGTTGCTTCTGATTTCCTCAGTTGCTTGAGTATGAAATTGCTTAAATATTCTGTTTTTCAATGTCTGCATTTCCGCTGTGGTGATTTTAAACCAACCCCTATAGTCTTTGAGAGTCCTGGTACTAGAGACGTCTTTGGATTGAGCTAGTGCTCAGTATGTCTCACAGAACAAAGTACTCAAACCCAAAATACTAGTAAAAGTGATGTCTTGGTAAGTTCCTCTGAGTTCCTGTCCAAATATTTACTTGTGAATTGTCCAACCAAATGACCGGAATGAACAATCAGTATCAAACCCAAACAGTTGGTGTTGATTAGAAACTGTTAAAATATAGAGCAACTTGGGTTCATTTAAGTTGCAAGGTTTGTTGTGTACAAAGCTTAATGCAGTCTTTTATTACTAGCTTGTTCAGAAAAGAGGTATGCACTGCAGGAGTTCTTTGATATTTTAACACTGGGATTGCTGGGCTCACTGAGCAACAGTCATATTCTCTGTTTAACAAGTAGTACTCATGGTGGAGTTTCTTTTGCAATCTACATAATGCTGAAGTGCAGTCCTCCCTTGCTGCTGGTCTGTGTTGGAGTTCTCTCACTGATTGTCTAATACCATGCTTTACTAATTGTTGTCATCTTCATAACCCAATTGCTTTGCTAAGGATCTACTGGAAAGCTATAATAGGTGAATTTTGTGCCTGTTTTTTTCCTATGTTATCGCTACAAAAAGCATGTACTAATTACTCAAGAAGTATGTTTGCTTCCACATCTATTTAGGTTCCAGTTTTAAGGAGTCTGAAGTACGATCTGCACTACTCATGGTAGACTTCCTTGACTCTGATAGGAATCCATTTGTTCCTTAAATGATAACCTGGTTTCTTTTTGGCATACTACAGCAAGAAAACACTGCATCGTGGATGCTCAGCCAGAAACTTTACATGTTCTCAAGTTAAACAGCACCTCTGTGAGGGAGAAGTAATGACTCTCAGCTGTGTTATGCTTTGCTTTCTGATCATAAGAACAATACAAAATTGCCCATTTTCCTGTTAATTCTGATGGTAGACTTGAGAGTCTCCTATAGTTGTTTTTGTGGAAAATGGTTGAAGTTCTTTCTGGTTTGTTGTCTTAGGCAACTGTTTACACCACAAAAAACTAAAACTCTGAAGAACCTTAACAGACTGTAAGCGTCCATGATATAAATCATCTTGCTGTATGTTTGTGAATAGCATGAGACCTGGGAATGTTAAATATTTTACTCACCTTTTAAAGGGGACTAAGCATAGAAGGATTTTTTTTTCCTTTTATATTTTATTTCTTTCAGTTGACTCTTGAAGTAGATGTTTTCAAATACACTCAAATCACAGCTGAGAGCTGTATGAGCATCAGCCGCTAGGTGGTACAGCATTCCAAGAGTAATGCAGACTTTGAAAATTGATAAAGGAGTGTTCTCAGGGCTGAACTTCGGGCTCTTCCAATCTGTGCTTTTTTTTTTGCAGATGCTTACTTTTTGATGGGTTGTTCACTAAAATGCTGCTTCCAAACAAATTTAGGCATGTGTTTTCAAAGTTTTCTTCAAAGTAATCATCAGTTAAATATAAAACTGTTTGTTAATAAGATGAAGGGGCTTCAAGGGAAGACATTTGGATACATGTTAGTGGTAATCAGCAATAATTGTAAGTTCCCTCAAAATTTTTAAAGTACCATCTACTGTGTGTAACAAAATTATTGTATGCACATAATTGGTAGAGTGACTTTGGAAAACAAAATTGAAAAACCTTGATGCATTCGCTTCTTAAATAAAAGAGAAGTAGCTTTTGTACCACATCTGAATAAATGGAAACCTAATGCTTAAACAGAATGACCAGAACTTTTCACAAACTTAAGCTTTACCTGTTATCATTCTTTGAGGATAGGGGAGAAACTCAGATTTGTAGCCAGACTTATTTTATTTTAAATGTTGGGAATTATGCCTTATTTAGAAAGCTGGAGATGAGAATGGATGGGGATAATTGCCACAAATAACAAGTGTTACTCAATAATATTTAAATCTTTTTGCCTGTGAATAAAGACCCTGAAGTTTAAAGCTTATTGGGGCTGTTAAGTATCTTACTATATTTAGTCTTTTTGTTACTGCAAGCAAACTGCTATAGTTCTGACTTAAGACAATTAAAAAAAAACATTTATGTGTCAGTATATAAAAGCATACTATGACTCTGTATTTTACAGACTTCTGCTTGTAGGAGGCTGTGAAACAGATGAAGATGGAGTATCTAAAGCAACTGGTTGTGGAATATCTGCTTGGAGAGTTCTGTCAGGCTCTCCCCATTATAAACAGGTCACTAGTTATGAAGATGACATTAAAACAGTAAGTATGTTTCCTCATTTTACTAGTTGAATATTGTCACTGTCAGAATTATCTAACTGGAAGTTCAATATGCATCTCTTCTTGAAAAAATAATTTAATGCAGTATAACTTTAATAAGTATAACTTTAATAAGTTATTTCTTCCCCCCCAGCATCTGTCTATTTTGCTTTTTCTGTAGTATCATTAGAACTTAAAAGTTCTTGATTATCACTTGTGATTTACATAAAAGAAAAAAACAAACAAACAAAAAACCAAAACCACAAAACAACCAAATAAAAGCCCAACAAACCAAAACAACAATAAACCAAAGTTGTAGCAGAGAAGTGTACAACCTCCTTAGTTGTGTACTGGGATATGTTACCTCTCTTTGTTGGAAAAAAAAAAAAATCCTGTTATTTTTGTCTTTTTATTACTTCATAACAAAAGGCAGCACACCTGAAATAAGTGTTTCAGTTTAAGTCTGACTCTTGATTCCTGTTGCTTCTAGTAGAAGCAAATGTTTGATTTGGTAGCAACCAAATATACCAAATATATTTTGGATATACCAAAATCAATTTATGGTATACTAGGATAAATTCGAGTGTTTACCCTTGCACAGGTATTGCCTAGTATTAAAAGCGAGCTGTTCATTTTAATGGAAATGAGTAGTGCTTTTCTGTGCATGCTACATACCTAACGAAATGGGTGAAGTTATACAAACTGCGTTTATTACCCTTGCATTATTTTAAAATAGGCAGTCTTATAGAAGTTTAAAGAATCCTGCAGAGTTGTTTTAGTACTTCAGATATGACTTAGTTTTTGGTACATAAAACAATGTATGAGATTGTCTTTCATTGTATGATGTGTTTCTGTTCTTACAGGCGCAGAGAAGAGGATTATTAAGGATTATGAATTTAAGGTTTTACAGCAGACGGAGAACAGAACAGGTATTAAAGTCTAGGTCTACCTCAGAAATGTATTTTACTAACATAATTGTCCATTAATGACTGCCTGAGAGACTGATTGAAAATATTTTTAAATTTATGCAACTTAAGAATTAACATTTCTTTAAAAGTTATAATAAGCTTTTAGTGTTAAATGGAGTAGCTTGGCATTTATTTGCCTTTTTAAAAAATCCACTTAGTTTATCTGCTGAAGCTTGAATCTTGGATTTTCAGCATACTGGCAGGAACAGGTCTGGAGATGTAGAGTTCAATATTAAATGTAAACTCTTAATCAAAAAAGAAAGTGTAAAAAGCCACTTAGTTATTTGTTAATGAGTGTAATGATCATAGCATGCTAGGTGTGTGATATATTCTACAAGAAGTGAGTATATTTTGACAATGTTTCTCAATTACATGGTTGTGAGAGAAATGAGAGGAACTCCAAAACCCAGCCTTCTGTACTGCCCCACTCCCACTAGAAAACAAACAAAACCCCCCCTCACCTTATATCCCAAAATTTACATACAGGATGGGGAAGGAAAAAATGAGTGCATTCAAACTAATCATTCATGGCTTAAATAGGGCAGACACAAAGACTTAACTTCTCCTAGCAGGACACATGTGAACCTAATGAAACTGCTGATCAAAATCAACTTGTTCTTAACAAACCCTGGATATGGGTCTTGTATTCTCCTCTCCCCTGAATGAGTGAGTGTTAAATCCTAAGTGTCATGCTGAGGTGTAGGCGTGTGCTTTCTGTATTTCTAAGGCTTTGCACACAGCGCTTGTGGCTTTCTTCTACATGCCTTAGGAGCTACCCATGTGGTACTGCACCACCTTCTCCTATCTTGTCTACTGATTGTGTGTAGCAGTTGCTTAATTCCTTTTTCTATCCCCCCTTCTCTTCTTGTACAAAAAAAAAATGTTTTCCCTTGTTCTGCTTTACAAGGAAAGAACAGTAAAGAATCTGTCTACCACCCTCACTGTATCCTCCCGAGAGGAAAAATGGCTGGTCTGAAGTTATATGGACTTTGGAAATGACCTTAATAGATTTTTTTTTTGGGACATTTAGGTGACTGGTTAAAAGAAAAAATTGCATGCTTGATTGGAAGGGGAAAACAAATCTTTCTGAATCTCTCTCGAGGGTGGAATGGGGAGAAATTTTATTTCCTTCGCTGAACACATATAAGAGAAGGCTGAAGTAAACTTTTTTACTGGAAGGCCAGTACTGAGTGTAGCTGTACTAAACTTCAACTTTCACTGCACTTGCCAGTACTAAATGTACAAAGAAAAGCAGAGATTGTTATTCATCCTTGAATGTTTTAATCCGATTTCAGAGATTATGGTTTAAATATGTGAGGTATAGTTTATATTCTTAGTGGGAAATTGGCAGCAGTGTTAACGCATGACAGGCACAGCAGCTAGAGGACTTGTATATTAGAACTAGCTATCTTGGGATTTGATTCTTAGTGTTGCTAACTTAAATGACACTTAGAAAATGTGAAGTGCCATCCTGCTGAGGTTTTCAGCATCTTGTTCTGCAGTTCCCTTAAGTTGACAAGCTGTTTACTGAGGCAGCATTGCCTGCTTTGCCAGAGGACTGATTAATCTCTATAAATAACAATGCTCTGGTGGGAAATTTGAATGTGTTAATGGCCACTCAACATCTAAATTCAACAGCAACAGAATTATTACTGACTACTGAGTAAATGCTTAACCCCTGTTAAGATCCGTGATGTATACCACTGACCATTTACCTGAATGGTTATATATTTTGGCTATATGTTTCTAAGTCCTTTAACAGTCTTCTGTTCTTTGTCCTCTGTGAACGCAGCTTGATTGGTAAGGACAGAATTGCCATTACTAGGCACGTACAATTCCTTGGCAAACTATCGTAGAGATTACAGTACTTTAGCTGCTTAAGAATATAGTTGGAGAATACTTAAGAATTATTTATATTAGAAAAAAAAATCATAACTGGTTTAAAAAACCCCTTAATACTACTCCCCTTTTCAATTAAAAACACATTTTAAGGTAGTATTTAAGCAGTATTCTCAATAGCTGCAAACCACTGTGCAACAGTGAGCAGATTACTTGATCATCATTGTTTCTGTGACATAACTAGAATGTAAAACAGCCTAAGAAATAAAATAAAAATAATTAAAAAAACCCACAAACCCCAACAAACAACTGTAACAGAATAGTTATCTTCAAATGATGCTTACCACTAATGTGCTGTAGAGACTCTGTTCAAACTTCTTAATCACATGGATGTCTAGTAACCTTTCTGTACTTCATTTATGTTGGAGTGTTTTCCAAGAGGGGAGGGGCTGGATAATCAGTTTGGCAGACTTGGATAGTTCTAACATTACTGTAGGTTGAATCTTTATTAGAAAGTTTTAAATAGCAAACTGCACTAACAAAATGGTGTTTTATAAAAAATGTAAGTTTTGGGAATCTACATCCTACTGTCCTTCAGTGAAGATTCTCTGAGAACCTAATGATCTTTCTGGAAACATAGAAGTTGTGTTGAGGGAGGGGGGGAGTAAATACAAATTGTATTTTCAGAAACTGTTATGCATTGCCAGTGACACTAAGTTTGACTTTGAAATCTGAGTGTATATTTAGAGGCTTTTGTCTCGTGGAAATAGTGTATAGATTCAGTTGTAATTGTGTGGGAATTCATGAATCCCTAAGGAAATATTTTGTTTGAAGTACGTTTTGTCTTTTAAAATATCCAGAGCTGAAGGAAAACTTCATCTAGGAGACTTTTTGTAGCCTTGATGTAGTTTACTTATTGAATTATTTCTTCTGTATGGACTTGATGTTCGCTGTATTGCTGCTAGTCTAATGTTACCCAAGAGATTCTTAAATTCAGATCTAATGTCCTGTAATGAGCAATGTGCTGCTTCAGGATCTCGTCATCTATGTATCTCTTGTATCCCCTTTGTTTTTAATTGTAATAATACCCACCCAGAAGTTTGTTTCCAGGGAGGAAGAGCTGTACTAAGAGCTGTGTGTGGGTAGCAGTCATCCTTGGGTGGACCTGAGAGGCAGGACAGCAGAAAACTGAGGGTGCTGGGTGTTTTCTCTGAGCAGATGATGTGAGAACAACCTGCAGTTTTTCCTCCAACTAGCTGTGCATTGCTCTCTGCAGTGTTCTCCTAGGAATGCCACACTTTCAGATTTTGTTTGATGTATGCCGGTGTGATACAGAAGTTCATGTTACTAAAGATATGTTAGTATTATGGTAGTATTCTTGCTTTATACAGATTGTTTTTACTCTTATATGCCACAATTGGTATTTTGCGTTTATTCTGACTTTTAGCATGGATTTTTTTTTGTTTGTTTTTTAAATATAAAGCATGTTAAATTTTCAGGATGGAAGATCATACAATTTTTTTTTTTTTCTTCCTAAAGTAGCAAAAATATTCTGGGGTTTTGGGTCGATGTGGTTGGGGTTTTTTTGTTTGTTTGTTTGCTTGGGGTTTTTTTATTTCTTGGTGTGTGTGGGGTTGTTTGTTTGTTTGAGTTTTTTTACTTTGCTGACATAATGTTTGACAGGATGGAATTTTCAAGATGAATCTTTCTCCTGATGGAGCTCTTCTGGCAGCTGTTCATTTCTCAGGAAAACTGACAATCTGGTCTATTCCATCTCTCAGACAACAAGGAGAATGGGACCAAACAGATCAGGTAAGGAGGATATCTTTGGAGACATGTTTTCCTAGGACATGAGAGTAGTTCAGATAACTGTGTTTTAGCTACATACTGTCTTTCCAGTCCATAGTTTTCAGGAGTGCTATATTTACTTTTACAATAATCTTTCTATGTTTTAACTATAAGCTTTATAGTTTAAGAAAAAGAACCAATTGTGTTGGAATGAAGTTTTCATGAGGCATTTTGATGCCAAATGGGTAACACTGGGAGAGGTAGACTGAAATGCTATTTTTAAAATGTTAGGGGAAGCCAACACAGGTAACTTTGTTTGAATGGTTGAAACTAAGTTCTGCTGTATGTCTAATGTGTTCATCTATTCTTTTCTCAAAATCTACCTTACCTTTTGCTAGATAACACTCCAGAATAGTTTGTTCATCAGATTGGTATTAGTAAGTAACATGCTTTCTACAGGAACTGTTTGCTGAAACTAAGTATGGGAACTTAAGTTAGGAGTTGCGCGGATGCTGGCAAATTTTTACGTAACTAGTGTGAATTTAAACCCTGCAAATTGAAAGCTAACTAGTTCTCAAAAAAAATTGCAGAAGGTTCCAAAATTTCAAATTTTTGTAGACTGTTTTAAATTCTTCACATTTATGTATTCATATGAAACAGATAGCTTTTCCCACAATATATTGATTTTCTCTGCAGTCTATGCAATGTGCAGTAGGTACTATAAGGTCCACAACAAAATGCTTCCTGACATTAATATAGGCACAGGTTTCTCTAATGAGGAAGAGGACAAAATGAAGGCAGACATCTTCCCTTTGGGTATCATAATGACAGTGAGGTTAAATGAAGGTTTTCAAGAAGAATTACAAAAAAGATAGGCTAAAAACTTTGACTATAGGAAAGATTTAAATCAACAAACACCTGTACAGATAACGGTAGCCATGGCTCAGACTGGGTGGACATCAATCTGCTTGTGGGTGGTAATGAATGATTGCCTTTGCATCACTTGGTTTTTCTTTTTTATTCCACTTTCCTTAGCTTCTTAGACTATCTTTGTCTTGACCCATGACTGTTTTTGCTTTTGTTCTTCCTACGCTCCCCTCTGTCACTGGGGAGGGGAGTGGTGCTCAGCTGCCAGCTGGGGTCAAACCACCACAGAAATGTAGTTCCAAGCTTATTTAGGAAAGTACTTTTAAAAACCAACCAAAAAAAAATCCTACTGCAATGTTGGCAAAAGTGTTGTGTACATATATGTGTGTATATATGCGTCTCTGTCTCTATATATCGCTCTATATTTTTAACATGCATTTCAGTTTTTTTGTGAGAATACGAATTTTGCTCAAGGATGTTTATAGTGAATGATTTCATTTTTTCTTAATTTTTAATGATAATGAATATGTATTCTGGACTAGTTTTTAGGACTTTATCATCTAGTGAGGGTGATATAAAGGAGTATATCAGTACTTGACTGTTTTCAAAATTATTTTTTGATAAGTGAAATTAGTGTTCACTTATAATGGATAATTTTCATGTGTGTGATTCCTACTTAATTGTCACCCAAACAAGTTAAAGTGGCTCCATGTTTAATTTTAATTATTAGACCTCTCTCTTTCTACTAAAAAATTAAGCCTGAAAATCACCTTCTGCATGACCCAAAACTGGTTTGGTTGTCTGAGCTGTATAATTTACCTGCAACTAGGGGCAGGATTACTGTCATCTATGTTTGCGTAGTTCCCATGTATTCTAACGTTACCAAACTCTAAAAAGACAACACAGCAAGAGCTTATCAATTCTAAATGCTACAGTGCATCATTAAATAATGTTACTTCTCTTGATGCAGTAGTCTTGAAAGGGGCTTTACAATTATGAAAATAACCACAGTTAATACATACAGCACTGTACTAGACTGGTACTCAGGAGCACGACACGAGCAAACAGGAGGACTATTTTGGAGATTTTTCTTTTACATGTTGGCAGTCCTATGTATAGGCATGGTGGGCTTCTATGTGCTTTATTTCAGAAATCTTTAGAGTATGATTACTGTTTAATGATGACTAGGCCAGGTCTGATGGTATTCTTGTTTTCCAGTACGGTGTTTTAGGAATCCAGCACTCTATTTTTCTATGTTTTTTTGTTTTAATGTAACTGTTTAGAAAAGAGTACAATGTCACTAAAGTAGCTGTATGTTTTATGCTCAGGAAAAGTTTGAATTTGTGGGAGTGTTTTCATTTAAAAATGAGTGGGAGAGCAGTAGATTAAATACATAGCGTTACGAAGACTGACTTGCATATAATCTTTTTTTTTTTTCTCTTGTACTGTTTTTTTTAGCCAGGTTATGATGAGATCAACCCAGACTGGAGACTCTCTAGTGAAAAAAGAAAGAAAATAAAAGGTATGTGGTACGGTTAGATCATTATTTTAGACCACTGTGTAGTTAAAAGTATTTATACAAATGTACAAAGATCTGAAATGGCTTAATTAAATCTCAGTTAGAATAGTCACTAAAATGGTATGTATGGTTTGAATTTATAGCATGGCATAGCTAAATGAGTGTCACAATAGGGTTGGTTTTTTTTTAAAATCCTCTTTTAGGAATACTTTTGTAACCATAACAATAAATATAAAAGGATATTTCAGTTAGCACAGGACTTCATTTATTATTAATCATGCGATTAGGACTCTGTAGTATGCTGAACATTCAGCAGATGTCTCAGCTTGTATCAGAAGCCACTACATCATAATATCATAGGTAACACATTATTAAAGTCCACAGTTTAAAACCTAAAGTTTACCTTTTCTTTCTGTGAATGTCTAATAAATCTTGAAATAATTTAGAGGTTAGTTTAAAATTCAGAAACAAAAAGGCTTTGTTTTCTCCAACTGGGTTTGCCTCGTGTCAGTCTCTGTTCTTTTCCCAAAATTCAGGCCACTGTGTGCAGCCATTGATCACTTGGCTATTACATGGCTCTTCCAAGAGTGCATCAATAGCTATTCCATGATCCATTCACTATTGCTTGTGTACATTCTATATTATTAAAAGATCCCTGTTTCTTTGTACTATTTTTCTTGGTGATTCTGTCTCTGGGTTAACTCATCTGACCTTCATGGGTAGGCTGCTGACTGAGCACTGAGGTGGCAGAAAAGTGATGAGCTGATCTGTTTCTCAGTGCTGTTTCGGGAAAGATGATTTTCACCAGAGAGGTGGGAAATGACACTGTAGTGAACAATCTGAGGTACTTCTGGTGAACATTTTGTCCCAAGATCCAATTACCGTAATCAAAACAATCGTAAAAGTTACACAGCTTCCATCCTTGGTCATGGTGACTTTTGTGTTTGTTTCTTTTGTTGGTTTAATTTCTTAATAGCTTCATCTTGTTGGCTGTTTCAGGACCCTTGTTCATAGTTGTCACTTGTCCTCAAAAGCAGTGTAACCTTTTGTGACTTTCATCAGTGTTATGTTTGTTGCCAGGGAGATTGGGTCAAAAATGGGAAGTACTGAAGCACATCTTAATCAAATATCTAAAATTTGTCATATTTTGTGCAAATAAATCAGTTTACTATAAATTAATTTAGCAAATAATATTAAAAGAAATTAAGTCCAAAATTAAGTGTTTTTCCCGTTAACAGCTTTAGTTAATGCAGAACTGATTTAGTAAAATATAATTGATCTAAAATACAAACTTAGTAAACCAAGGATTCATATATCATAATAAAAGTTTGTTAAATTGGGCCATCAGATGAAATCTCTTAAGAACACAAGTGACTTTGATTATTATCTGGTATTTACAGTTATCTTTCTTTGTATGGCGCTTTTTTATTTATTTTAGACAAAGAATCCTATTACCCGTTGATAGATGTAAATTGGTGGGCAGATAATTCTGTGATCCTGGCTCGCTGCTCTGGTGCATTGACTGTGTCATCAGTCAAGACGTTGAGAAACTTGCTGGGAAAGTCATGTGAATGGTTTGAGAGTTCTCCTCAGGTCACTTCAGCTCATGATGGAGGATTTCTAAGTCTGGAGGTGAGGAATGTGCACAGGTAGAGAACTGGAATGTAGAAACAGTTTGCTTTTCTATATGTAATCCTAAGGGTGTTACCTGTGTGTGTGGTATGGTCTAAAAAAATACAAATTATTATTACTAATAGAAAAAGTGATTCTGTTTGCTAACCTCTAGGTAGGTATCGCAGGGAAATTCTGAACTTGCTGCAATTCAACTGTCTTAATAAAAAATTAATTGTCAAATAAGTTCTCAATAGTAGATGCAAAACTCCTAGAAGGCTGAGTCTTAATGAGAGGAATCTTGCTGCAGGAAACAGTTTGTGTCGGACAGTTTTCACTGAAAAATGAGTAACGCATTTAAATTAAAGACCAAGCCATGTAAGAGATCTATTTTTGTTGATCTTTAGTAGGATTCCAGGAAGGAGTAGAACATAATTTTGGTTAAGAAGTTAACCAGGAATTTTATTTAAAGTGAAGAAAATAACTATTTCCTAAGGCTGATGCTGAAATAGGTCTTAAATATCTTAAACATTATTTTAAATTTTTTTAATGAGAATATCTCAATATGTACCAAAGCTTACATGTGTATTTTTGGAATTATTTGTATTATTCTGGAAATCAGATCTAGCCAGTGACCTGCATACAGAAAACCTTGCTTTTGATAGCTGAGTTGAAAACATTGTACGCTGCAATAAGCTATATAACAGTGTACTAAGATGTCTCTATAGCTCTGTGTTGTCCAGGGTGGTGTAGGACATTTAGTGTAGCAGCAGGTTACTACTAAGAAGCCTTCACCTTTGCTTCATTAGGAAGAGATGAAGCCTTAGATCTAGGAGACAGACCCACACAGGGTTTGTGGAATATATTAAGTAAGCAGAGAAATAAAGGGTTTAAAGCAGAAGGGGAGGAAGGATCTTGATTCTGAAATTTGAAGTACTGGAAGTGGAAATATATTCCATTCTCACCAGACTAGTTGAGATGTAGTAGGTGGGTGCTTCATATTCTACCCTTAAGAATTGTTTTCTGTGCAGTGTGAGATAAAACTCGTTCCAAAAAGATTACGCCTGGAGAGCAGGCCTGGTGATGAAGATGAGGGTGAAGATGACTCTGAGTCAGATGATGAAACTTCTGCTAAGGACAGGTACTTCAGCTACCTAAAGCAAGGCCTGTACTTTGTGACAGAAATGGAACGATTTGCTCCTCCACGGAAACGTCCGCGTACTATTACAAAGAATTTCCGCCTTGTCAGTTTGAGATCCACGACTCCAGAGGAACTGTACCAGAGAAAGGCGAGTATAAAAGGAAAGGTCATATCTGCTAATGAGCTTTATTTCTAAATAAGCTTTTTATTTTTATTCTTTATTAACAGAAGAATCTAGGCACGTATAATTCTAAGTCTTTTAGTCGACAGTGTACTATGTTAACTAATCTAAGGGATCATACTTAAAACCAGCATTATAATAAATCAGATGAGATGATGCTTGCAGGTCACTAAGGAGACACTGTGCATCATTAGCTTGGCCAGACTTGGAAGTGTACTCATGTGAGTGTTTACAAATATGAAAGACCTGGCAGATATGTTGAATGAAATTTTTTTAGCCTGGAGAAAAGGAGGCTGAGGGGAGACCTTATTGCTCTCTACAACTACCTGAAAGGAGGTTGCAGTGAAATGGGTGTTGGTCTCTTCTGCCAAGTAACAAGTGATAGGACAAAAGGAAATGGCCTCAGGTTGCACCAGGGAAGGTTTACATTGGATGTTAGGAAAAATTTCTTCACCGAAAGGGTTGTCAAGCAGTGGAACAGGCTCTCCTGTGGTTGAGTCACCATCCCTGGAGGTATTTAAAAGACACGTAGATGTGGTGCGTAGGGACATGGTTTAGTGGCTGGACTTGGCAGTGTTAGGTTGATGATTGGACTTGATGATCTTAAAGGTCTTTTCCGGACCAAAACAATTCTATGATTCTAAATTAGTTGAGCTTGTTATTGGCCAGGGAATGGGTTAACTTCTACTCTGATGTTAATGTAGTTTACTTGCATGGTTTTTTTTAGGCATACATGAAATTAACCCTTTTACTCATTTTTACTGAAGAACAGATACTTCTTATTTTTTATGTCTACTCTGCAGAGTACTTTGTCTAGGCAATTTCAATTGTTCTGATGGTAAACCAGCCCAGTCTGTAACTATTAGAGTTTCCAGGAAGTGCTGATGTCATATCAGTTACCTAAATAACTGCTTCCTTTTTCTTGAGGAAAACCCTCTGATTTTCTAGAGGTTTCTGATTTGAATCTTACTCATCCATATCTTGAGCCATTGTCTGACGTACGTACCTGCTTAAGCATACCCACAGTAATTATCCCTCTGCCTGTTTCAACACACAGAATTAATAATTGATTGTTTAATATGGAAATCAGATGACTTTCATTTTCATGTGTTTGGATTTTAGATCGATAATGAAGACTATGGGGAAGCTTTGTCTTTGGCTCAAGCATATGGCCTTGATTCTGATCTTGTGTATCAAAGACAGTGGAGGAAATCAGCTGTTAACGTCGCTTCAATTCAGGACTACTTGGTGGGTTTGTTTTTTGTGGCTTGTAGGCTTTCTTATCAGAATGACTGCATTATCTTCACAGGAATTGAATTCTCAGTTGCATTCTAATTTATGCAACATAAGTTGGTGGCAATTTGCAGAGCTGTCCTGCAAATTCCACTTCATATGATGTGGAAGAGAGTGATCTTGTTCATTTAACTTGATGGCCTGATCCAGAGACCTTGGAAGTTAATGGAAATCTTTCCTTTGGAGTATCTTCTAATTTCCATTAACAGCAGCATGCTTTCTGTGATCTCTCCCCTGCATGCAGCAGTAGATTGCTGCATGGCAAATGAATAATAATTGGAAATACAAAGCATTTAAATAACTTCCAAGTATATTAGAAAATTAAATGGGAAGGCAATGTTGGTATCAGTAGCTTCATAGCAAAGTTTGAATAAAAAAAGTTTATATTAAACTCTGCTACCTTTAACTGGAGTTTTTCAGTAGAATGCAACATAGGGGTTTTTTGGCTTGGAGGAAATTCCTCAAAATCAGCAGACAAGCATTGTGAGAGATGCCCAACCTAATGGTTCTACACTGGAAATTCTTCCAAGAGATCAAGAGAAATCTAACCTAATTTTTTGTTTCAAGTCAGATAATAATTTAATGTCAAAATAAGATTTTACATGTAGCCATTCTCCATGTGCTGTGTAATCTCAACTGAAGATCAGCAGATAAGGCCGATAATTTTTTGTGACCTGGTGTGTCCTTTCTGTCACAGAATCCTATTGGCATGTGAAGAGGTTGATACTGAAAATTACTTGATATTGTGGAATACACTCAGTCTGTAACAACTGCATTTTAGCCCAAAACTGTCACATTTTGTTTAGTGTGAGGAGGAGTAATGCTAGTTAGGGAATACAAATAATAACTTCTGCTCCTGTTGTTGTGAAAGTTGTGCTAAATATTTTGGCATTTCTGTGCCCTTTTCTGCCACATGTACTCTGAAGGAATTACGCTTTTTTGCATACTTTGGTTCTCTTTCTGTTGGTGGGCTGTATGCTGTGAGTATGTGTTAGCTTCAGGTTGCAGCTTAGCTTTCTGCAGGTGGGAATTAGACTTCTCTTCTGCTAGTCAACAAAAAGTCATTAGCAGAGCACTGTAAAGAGGCTTAGTTCCATTACATTAACCAAATAAAATTAAGTCCATGTACTGATAAACAGAACTGTAGGATTAGCATTTGTGGGGTAGTTCTCTCACCTCTTTTGGTGATGCCCATTGCCAGTCATCAGATTAACTTGACATTTACTAAAGTGGAAGAAACACATTAGAAGACTGTAACATCTCTAGTTCCATTGCTTTGGATTGAAGCATATAACATTGTGCCTATGCTCTTGTTCTTGGACAGAGCAAAATTAAGAAGCGCGCATGGGTTCTTCACGAGTGCTTGGAAAGAGTTCCAGAGAATGTGGATGCTGCTAAGAAACTGCTTCAGTATGGCTTGAAAGGCACAGACTTGGAGGCTCTTGTGGCCATAGGAAAAGGAGAAGATGGTGGCAGGTTTGGGAAGAGTATTTTTTGTTTGTTTTCTTTTTAAAGAACGGTGGATGAAGTCTTTTCTAATAATTTTGCAGTGTTGTGGTTTTTTTTCCTTTTTTTAATCAACCACTAATGGAATGTTAAGATGCTTTTGAAGGACATAGGAAAGTAATGCTTTGAATCAAGCTCTTCTAAATATTTCCACAAAGTACCTGTTCACATTTTACCTCTCACAAAGGTGAAATCACTGTTTATTTTGTACTGCACTTTCAGTCTTCTCTGGATGTCCTTTATTTTCTGCATCACAGAGAACTTTAGATGTCACGTTTTTTCTATGAGAATCTGTTTCTCCTGCCTCTTCTGGAAGCTGCAGCTACTCCTATAAAGGCATTTTATTGTATGTGTTAATTGTTATAATGATCTTCTGTTGTTGAAGTGGGGAGGGGAACAAAGCAAATACAGTGGGTCAGTGAGGACATACATGTGGAGTCAATGCTCTTCAGTATTCAGTTCCTGGTGGTGAAAATAGAACACTGTTCTTCCTTTGTGCAGTCATCTGTTACCATTGTATGTTGTAGAGATGCTTCCAATCCCAGTAATGCCTGTGGAATTTAGAAACTTTTCACAAGCATCATAGCTCTGTGGTTGGTGGGTTTTTTTGTTTGTTTGTTTTTTTTAAATTTTGTTTTAGGGAGCGGGTGGAAATGAGATTATGCCTCTTGTTGGCGTGTGATTAGTGCCTGCTGCTTTACATCAGCAAAACTCACTATTATAATTTTCTATACGAGTTTAGATTTTTAGTCGACATAAATAAAAAGATATGTTAGTATGTTTATTCAATAATTTGTTTGTCATATCTTTTTGTTTGTTTGTATCCACATTGATTACATTGTTGGTTTTGTCCTCCAGATTTATCTTACCAGGGGAGGTGGACATTGAAATTCCCTATGAAGACTTTTTGTCAGCGGATGAAGAAATGGATGCTAGAAAGGAAAAAGAGGCCAAGAAGCATCAAGAACTGCTATTATCAGTAAACTTCTCAAAGTAAATGAAATGTTAGGCCATGTTTTATTCAGAGTTACACATTTATTATAACTACACAGTTGCAAGAGCATAATTACTCTCATGTATGTTATTCGTAATAGGAAAGTGGCAAATTTTAATTAGCATTATATTGTGTCAAAGTTCTTGGTTTACATTCTTGACCTATTTTAGTGCACAAAATCATTAAAATGTATAATCATTGTCTTCATACGCACATGATGTAAATTATCAACTGCAAGTGTGAAAATTCCTGTTTTGAACACAGACTGACGCTGGAACAGAAAGAACTGTGCCGTAGCAGGCTGAAGCTGTTAACTTACCTTGATCGCCTTGGAACCTATGAGGTGAGGAAACTTTTTAACTTGCTGCACTTCTTCTGAGTTCTCATTCCGTAGGTATTACTGTAGCTTTTTCATTGCATCATCATATCTATTTTTGTTATATATTGTACTATTAATGTTTATAGTCTTCTTGAAATGCTGCAGCCTCTCACTTGAGAAATGTAAGCTCTTTTCTGTTCAAGCTACCGTGTTTCTTCTGCTTCACTGTTGCAAATGGTTGGCTTCTAGTGTCGAGAGGTATAGTTGGGCAGAAGCCTGATTTGAACATACTGTCTGCAGGGAATTCAGTTTTGCAACAACATTGGGATGTGGAGTTGGTGCAGGATTACTGTTATTTTCCTCTGTCACTCTAATTAGCAAGTTTTATTCAGGTTGTCTAATTAATCTTTTTCTTCCAGGAGCTTACTGAAGTGAAAGTTTTTGGAATGCCAAACTGTGTTTTGCTTAGTTTTTTAACTTTAACTTTAACTTTGCAGTTGGCACTAGTCATGTAATGGCTTTAACCACATCTCTTCATAACTAATGTTGTCTAAACCCTAATTAAATAAGGCAGAAAATTGTCTTAGCTTATGAATCAAAAATATGTCTGTGTTTTTCATACAGAAACAAAAAAAAAAAACGCAGCATGCTTTCCCACATATATCTCATACTAATTCATACCAAGATAAAAAACGTGTAGGCTTTTTGATGCTTTTGTAAATCTTGTATAAAAAACAATCTTCTATAAGTGGGTGAGGGTTTTTTGGGGTTTTTTTGTTCTTTTAGGAAATCCTTGGAGGGCCTCATGCAGCTGAACAGCACTATGATGGCGAATTCTTCAAGAAGTTCAGAAATCAGAATATTGTGCTTTCAGCAAGAACTTATGCTCGGGTATTAATATTTGTTTTGCTAGAATGTAATTTTGTTTTGGGATTGCTGTTTTCACTTAAGTGCATTTTTCCCCCTCTTTGAACTTGGTTGAATCTCAATGGAAATTTAAGAGGTGGAAGGGTGTATTTATTTGATTGTAAATAAATAAATGCAGTGACTTTGAGCTAATTTTCTTTATTGCTAAAGAAAATTTTAAAGTTAAGTGTTTGTTGCGTGACCTAAGCTTACTTTGCTCACTTTGTCTAAATCAGTCTTAAGCTAGTTCTGCAACTGTTTTACTCTTTAGGAAAGCAACGTCAGAGCCCTGGAAATCTTGTTCACGTTCCACGGATCAGCTTTACTTCCACACAGACAGGCAATTCTCTCCAATTTTCCAGAGACAACTTCACCACATGAATATGCTTTCTTGTTGCCTGAAGCTTGGTAAGAATGCATCAATGGATATTAACTAAAAAAAAAATCAGAATTTTTTTTATGTTAATGCTTAAATTAGTTTCTGTATATTGCAGTCTACTGTTGGTTATTACCTGGAATCAAGAAAGCAGCTTTTTCTTTATGTACTTGATCAGTCTTCATTTTCTGCTTTACTTTGTGGCATTCATGGAAGCTTTTTGGTCTCTTTTGGTTATTATCGGGAAAGTAAGGACTTTAAATGATCTTGCCTTCATTACACATAAGAGGAAGCATGGCATTTTCTGACCTGAAACCACCCAGATTTTCACAGGTGTAAGTACAAGTCTGTAATTGGTTTGTAATAACTGCAAGTGTTAGGAAATTAGTAATACAAGTGTTTAGCTCCCAGGAAGCAATTACATTTTTTTGGATTTGTTTTGAAATGTAATTTAACACTTAAGCAGTCAGTAACTTCAAAATCATTAATCTTCTTGTTACTGATTCTTACACAACTTGGTAAGGTAGAATTATGAAAAGCTTTAAAGCCACACTTTCCTACTCTTTCATTGCAGCATAAAATGTTAGTTTACTGTCAATTTTGTGTAAATTTTCATGAAAGTTTTGCTTCTACAGTGTTTATTTCAAACACTTTTGTTATGAAATTATTTTTGAAGCATATTGTTCAGTGCCCATAAAGAATTGGGGAGATTGCGTTATTTAATATTTTACAATAGGACTTTGAAGTTTTACTTCAGAAGGATAGTTTTTGGAGTATCTAATAGAATTTTTTTGGGGTAGTCTTCCAGCGTTATAGTTAAGTTTTTCACTTCAAAGTTTTAATAGTCCCATTTGGATAATTCTCCAGGTAGAAAAGTTTTGGGGTTTTTTGTTTTGTTTTTTTTTTTTCCCCATCAAGTTATTCCGCTGACATTTTTCCTAGCTTGTAATACTTACTGTTTTGTCCTTTCTGAGCAGAAGTTAGTCTTTATTTCATGATATCTAATACTTACCAGTGCCCTTTTTATTTATGTTGGTAGTATTACGAACACATTTAGTTATTTAATTATGGTGCGAAAACACTTGTTTTATTATTTTCTTTAAGGCAGCAGTTAGGACTATGAAGAGAAATTATTTATAAAATTGGTAAAATATATTCCAATTTTTCTGTTTTGTTTTCATAAGATTTCTAATGTGAGAGGGAGGGAAGAAGGCTCTTCTTAAATGTGGTTATGCTGTTTTGGTACTGTTCATAAACAGGTTCCCCTTCTTTCTGAGGGGTTGTTTGTTCTTGGTTTTAGTTTTATATTTTGTTGTTGTGGTTGGTTGGTTTGTTTAAGAAACTGACTTATGTGCCAAGAGGCAAAATGACAGTTAAAATAAAACATTTCACCACTGTTCTTTCTAGTAGTAAAGATGTGAAGTTATGGGTTAAGAACTTAGTTTTGTCTGCTGCTGAAAAAATGGAAGTATGTAGTTTGACTCTTTGATCCTGTGGCAGACAGAACTTTTCAGTCCTAGGATGTGCAGGTTCACACTTTTTTTCCGGTTGCAGAACCGATAATACTGTATGTCTTTGAAATGTTTGTCTTTCGATAACTAGATAATGAGGATGAGAGCAAATCCTATATACACAAATCCCATATACTTATAACAATGTACTGTATACTTGATCTAACCTTTTTCTAAAACTATTTCCCTGTTAAAAAATTGATTACTTGCATAGTATTGCTAAATACACTCCCAAAAACTCTATTGATCTAATAGCATTAATTATGTATTGATGAAAATATATATTAATGAGAAAAATAACTAATCAAGTAGACTTAAGTTGTACAAAGTTACATTTTCTTACTAATTTAAAAAGTTTTGGTTTTCTTAATGGGGTGAGTCTTCTCCCCAGTCCAAATAGCTTCAGATTCTGGCAATTCTTCTTTCATATGAATCAAAATGAATCCATGTGAATCAAAGAGAATTGAAGTTCTTGGTCATTTTAAGTGAGTTTATTAGAACTTTTAGTTCTAGCATTTATTCTTTAAATGGATATTAGTATGAATAAAATTACTGTCATTCTGTAGATATGTAGCAGTTATGAAATCCAGTTTAAATCACTGTGCTGTCTAGTTTACTTCTCTATAGAACATAGTATATAGACATAATTTGCCTTAAATTAACTGTTTGAACAAGGTTATGATACAATTTATGAAACTATTTTGTTACCACATAATATTAAAAAGTTGCAAGTACTGACTATAATTAATAAACTTCTGAACACTGCAAAAATATAACCCCCCATGTTTTAATTGGTAGAAAAAAACATCTGTAGCATTATAACTTAGTGTCTATTCAGTTTATACAGCTTGTAATTACAGTGGTCGTGGGATAAGGGGTGAGAATGATTCAATCTGTCTTCATGAACTTGGACTCTAGACAAATTTTAAATGATTCAGAGTCAGGTAAATGACTCAGTCTGGTTTTCCTTTTTACATTTCACACTGTTGCCGTTATGAAATAGAGTGTATGCTGGATATCAGAAGGATTTTCTACTTTCAGCTGCAAAAAAGATCTCTCTTGTGATTTCTTTTAGCTCATTGTTTTTCTGAAAATTTAAGGCCATAATTGTCTGTACCAAGAGATTCCAACAGGGTAATTGGTTGCTGTGGTGCGTGTGATGAGACCACTAACATGGACCAAGTGCATGATAGCACCCATGTTAAGAGTGCAGCCTGTCCTGGTGGCCTTGCTTAAAGAATGCCTTGTTCATGCCTTGTTGATTCCTCTGCAGCTCAGACCTCTTGCTGAGCAGTGTACAGCTCTGAAGGCAAAAAAGACTTTGGTGGAGGAAAAAAAACCCTGTAGTTTGTCTTCCAGGTCTTCAAATATGGCCCTGCATGTGTGTGTAGGATGAAGGACTGCTGGGAGTTGACCATGTTGTGTCTGTGTGTATGGAGCACTTGATAAGAGGGTTGGCGCCCAGCTGGAGCTCTCTGAGGTGGCACCTATCCGTATGGAAATTCACCACAATTCTCTGTGTTCTCTCAGTTCCCCCATCTATAGGGGAATCTGGCTGAAGAAAAATTTGAGATTGTCTAGCAGTTGCTGCCTTGTTTGTGCATGGAACTGGTGAGGTGGGACAAATAGGCACCTCTAGCTATTGCCAAGGCAAAAGCATTGAAATGTAATTGCTTGCTGTACACCTCCAGCAACATGAATGCACATAGAAGTGCTATATCTGGAGAATTTCATTACCTATGAGAAATGTTTTTGTAAAGGTTGCGTTATAACTACCATTTCCTTTCATCTGGAGCCTCCAGTTCAGCTGCAGATAGTAAATTTTAAGTACCTAGTGAAAGAAAGGCTTGTTTTGCTAGTGCATTCTATAGATGTAAAGCAGTTGTTTTTCTTGTTACTGGTACATGTCATTTACATTAGGATAGCCTGTGTCACAGAAATTTTAAGGTCTTACCAGTCAAGGAAGAGTTGGTATAACAAATGTGGGGAAGAAAATAGTAGAAGAATTTCTTCTGTCTTCTGGGCCAAGTTGTTAGGAAATATGTACATTTTTTTTCCCTGTATCTGCTTGTGAAAAGTCTCAAGTGGTAGATACCCTTTGTTTCTTGTTTTTGGCTCGTGTTTTGTAGCTTAGCATCTTTAGGGGTCGCTCTCAGAACTGTTCAGGAGGAGGTTTGTTGTGTCTGAGCAGAGGATTTATGTATTCATGAGACTCTTGAAAAGGACTACGAGTTATATAAGCTCCTGGAGTTGCGAAGGAATCTGAAACACTAAGATGCATCAGTGGCTCTACATGCCTGTTGGCTTCAAATTGGTATTGTGATAGACTGACATTACTTAGTAATGTGTTTTTTGCAGAATTGTGATTGTAATGTTTTCCTACTTCTTTTCGTATTATTTCTCAGCTTCTTTTATAATAATGGCTCCTGAATCTCTGCTGTCTCTTAGTCATTGGGATTCATAGTCCTTCTCAGAGATGCATCAGATGTATAGACTTCATCTGTTAAGACAACTAGAGTGAAGATGGTAAAAGTTTAGGTATTCAAAGGAGATGATAGCTCTTTCTAATCTCTATTTTAATGGCTACAGCAAGTGTTCTTAATCTATAGTTAACACTGTTGCCCTCAGGTTTTCAAAGGTGATCTCAGAGGAAACTAATGCTTTACCACCATTATAAATACATAACCAGAGTATTTTTCCTTTTCTTTTAATTTTCTTATCCTTTTTTCTACATTTGACTGCTATATTGCAACATTACCACTCACAGAAGTTGGGAAATTCAAATGGATGGTTCCCTCAGCAGCCATAAGTCTGCTATATTGCACATTACACTAGTAGTAAAAATCTTCCCTCTAAGATATAAAAAGTTGCTATGTTTCTGCTTTTTCACTCCTTAACTTTCTCAAATATTGGTTTTCAGTCATGGCTTAAAGTGAATTTTTAGGGGAGAGTTGTGGATGAACTCCATTTGCCTGATGAACTGGGGTGAGAGTTGAGATACCTTCTAAAAACTTCGTGAAGCTTTTACAGCCTGAAAATTTCTACGTAGTAGACTCTCATCTATGAATAGATAAATACTGCACAATTAAACTAAGAGGTTCCTAAGCAGTTAACTTTGTCTTTCCATAATGATATCTTCTCCTGAACTAGGGTTTTAGTTATTGCCTGTGGCACTGCAGTTTCCATAAAGCTCTTACAGCTTCAGCTCATCTCTTCTTAGTATGTATATGTAAATAGGTTTGATGACTGCATGTCTGCAGAATGTCTAATATATAGTCCTCATTTTTTCGTATTAGTTTTTCTTTTTCTTTCTGAAGCTGAACTGCTTTTGTTTTTAGTGTAGTTCCGAAGTGTTTATGTTAAAAGAATTTAATCCCATGGTCAGCTCTTTTTGTTTGAATTAATTTGTATAGTGCTACAGTGAAATAAATAAGAAGGGCATAAGTTTTATATGCACTTCTTTTCCTTTGCACTAAGGGAAAGAAGAAAAAAAGCAGTTTAGAGGTAGAAGAGTCAATGTA